TAACACCCTCGCTTTACGAGGCGGTGAGCGTCAAAATATCTATCGAGATCTCGGCACAGATTATCTCGGTCGGAGATAGATAATAACGTGGAAGAGAATGTTATGATTAATAACTATTATATTTAGTATACATCTATAGGTTCAATGTAAGCTTTGAGTAAATGTTAGATTTAATGGAAAACTAAAATTGGTCGATTTAGTGAACTACTAAATGCAAGAATATTTATTCACATATAAAAAAATTTCGTTAATGAGGAATTGAGAGAATTTTATAAAGATAGTCTTAAAAAGTGTTGTATTGTATTAAATATTATATCTTAATGATTTAAATTAATAGTATAATACATTATATTGAGGTACTTGTCGTTAATTATTCTCATTTTCATCGCCAAGGTTTTGAATAAGTTGAAAAAATCAAGGTTTCGAAGTTGTATCGTACTTAAAAATTAAATGAGCTCAAAAATCACATTTTATACTTAAAACAAAAAATATACGGCAGTTTTTGTATAACATAATACTTTAGGATTTACAATTAACAGTTATTTTTAATATAAATATCAAGCAATTAAAAAATCCAAGATTTCCGAACTCAATACTTGCAATAATGAACTAGGAAAACACTACCAACATTTTGAAAAATAGACACTACCAACATAACAAGATAGCCTGAAAATAAACCAATGTTAGTCACAGTTATACCAACATACGAGAGCAATGTCATTTTTGAGTTCCCGGAGCGATGCTTATGTCCTGTTACGTATTCCCATAAGGCCCTAGCTCGGATTCCCACGACGAGTCCGGCCCAGGGCGGTGTAGGAAAATGACAGAGCGGTGTTTCTCACACGACCGACGCTAATATCATGTGATGCTTTGAACCAAAGGTTGGATCAATTGTTTGTTATATGTACAAATGTTTGCAGCCAATTCGGCACTAAAATGACGCTCTCTTGACAATTGAAAGTCATAAAACTAATTTATGAATTTTCAATGGAACGTCTTATTACAAAGAAATTAAATCCTTCGCGTCAATAATGTTACTAAATTCGAATATAATTTTAAATTACATCTAAAAGCTTTCGTTTATAAATAAAATGATTTAATTAGTATGCAAATCGTGCGTTCCGATCTTATAAGAGATAACTGATTATCATTCTGGGACAACCCTTTCGGTCCTTAATTTTTCGCAAGCCAAATCATGTCGCAAGTTTTCACTTACTTACGCTCGAGAAGTCATTATAGAGTTTAATGAATTTCAACCCTAAAACTAAAGAGTTAAAGTTGATAATCAAATGGTAGACGTCATTGCAAGACTTAACAAAAATATGGGCGCAACTGACAAATTAATTAAGTCGCAAGAAAAAAGGAATCGATCTGTTGCGTCGAGTCACATGCTCGAATAGCCAGCTATCGGGATAGGATACGACGGTGCTGACATCTCTTGCGGATTTTTGCTTTCGGGGTCTTTGACCGTCAGTTGTTTTTTAACATCCAATATTATGGTGAGTTCAACGAAAATCGATTATAAATCGACCCCCTTACGAAACGTCGCACTTGATTTTTAACAACATATTTTTATTAAGAAGATATTTACTACGTTAAAATCGGATATATGTAAAGAAAATTTTATCAATTGTATTAAATACTACAATTCCTAATAAGATAGCCACAGCTTCCTATATATTATTTTGTTCTTTCAAGTACAAAAAACTACTTTATTAATAAAAGTAGTTATTTTAAAAAGCAAAGCGACGTATTGGCGGCAAACGTAAAAGAAACAGTAAGCTTGCATCTTATAAATTAAGTATTAACTAAAGAAGACAGCCGCTGGCTAAGAATTAAAATAAAATCGCAAAGCGTCGCCAAAGCGTTGTCTGATATGTCGTATATCAATAATTTGCTCGATTTAACGATTCCCGCGCAAACGTTAAAATACGCCGCCATTTTGCCGCACCGAATTCATTTCTCCAATTTGTAATGTGACATATTAAAATAATCCTTTTAAATACACATCTTTGTTACGTCGTATAATAATAAAATGACATTGTTTTTTTACTCTTAAATATTGGTTTTTCTCGAAAAACATGATTAAAGTATACCGGAACAGAAAACACGATTCACAAACAAACATAATTTAAAACTGTAAAATAATACTTTAAAAGCCAAAAAACAATATCATGCTACCCATAACTTTCATGTAAAATGATGTTTCTATTTTTTAACTGTATATGGGGACATTAAAAGTAACTCAAACGCTAAGGTAACAAGAAGCGATATCATAAAGTCGACAAATCACCGCGGGGACGCGGAGACCGCGCGGGGACGGAGCACGCAGGGGATCGTGTTCGATCTAATTTAGAGCGGCGAGCGGTGTGATGAGCGGAGCTGATAGCGGGGCGGGCGGCGGCGCCACGCTGCGTGATTTACTCTCAACCCGTTCGAGATGCACTCGCATCTGATTAGAGTTGCTGTCATCGACTGTGCCGATTTAAACTTGCAGATAAATGTACATATTTAGACTCGCGATTTCGCTTTGATATAATTAAGTAAATTAATAATTAATTACTAAAAGAACTTTTCATATCAAAATACAAACATTTATTTAAACATGGGTTCCGTTTCAGGCATTTTTTATTTGCATTTTAATTCTTAATTAAAATTATATTACTATGTGGAATTTGAGTATAAAATCAAGATATAAGTAACGTTCAGAATTAACAGACTGTAAGTAAAATAAACAACATGAAATAAATTAGCATTGTACAAGGTCTGTAAAGGCATAAATCGCGCTGAGACCTCCGGAGCCTATCGTATTTTCCTTTATAACATAATCTGTGGCATCTCGACGATTTATCCCGAGCCCCGGTGACTAGGGGAGAAGGGGAACGCGGAGTATCCCTGGGGACCATACCAGCTGGACCAATGAAAGAAAAGGGGATATGACAAAATAAAACTATTTATTTCAATATGAAGATATTTTGTAAATGATTTTTACATTTCAAATATAATTAATACAGATCCAACTTTTTATGCATTGGACCAAATTAAAAAAAAAACTGATAAACAAAACGATCTAAAGAAAACCTCGATTTTCAATCACTCAGAATAAAAGATAACCTCTACATGCATATTTAGAGACATCACAAGGGTACATAAAATATTGCGAAATAAAAGTAATTTTTATTATAAAAGAAGTCCCTACATCCACATATTGCAGCGTGTAATGGCGTCATTTACACAATTTATTGTTAATTGCTTTTGTATATTAACGCGATACCAGTATTAAGACATATCGCACGGCCCACAATCAACGTTAATCGTGACAACACATAAACGTTAGTATTAACGTAAAGTAAAGAATTTTGTTCAATAGCTTTATACATAAGTTAAAATGTGAGTTAATACTTTTATCATATCAAGTTTTCTTGCACTCAATCCATATCTGTCCTCTTTGTAACAGTTACACACTTCATTTATCAAACCCAAACCATTTCATCAACAGAAATTAGTTAGTCAATATCGAACGCTAGATGGCGTTATTAAAATAAGGCCAATATTTGTAAAATAATTATATGTTATAATACACAAAAGAACATTTTATATAATTAGTATTTATTTTGTTTATAAATTTTTATGTTAACACTGGCCACCGACGAACGATGATGAGACAAATTAAAAATATGTTAAAAAAAATAAGAATTTTAATTTCAATGTAAATATAAGAATAAATAAAGAAGATATAAAACAAGATGGTACTAGTTTACATTTATCCATAGTCCAAATAATCCGGATTTGGTAAGGAGCAGCATTTTATTATTAAATAGTATAAACCAAAGATAAGCTTCTGAATAATAGTAGCCATCATTAAAACCAATGTTGTCGAAGTAATAAGTATTTGAGGCTGATAAGTGGTGATGTCAGGCGCATAGAAGATGGCCGCGCCATATTTGGCGTTGTCCCTGACGCTCGGTGCAGCGGGGTCCCGAAGGAAGTGGGGGCGGCGGGGGTGTGCGGGCGACGCATGCAGGTGTGTGACGTCATCATGTTCTAGCAATAATAATAAATTATGAGTGAATATTTTAGAAAAAAGTGCAGATTTTATTTTATTTGATTTTTAATAATTTCATTTGTGTGTTTATATTTGTGTTATATTGCAATCGAGATAAGGTTTATTATTGGGTATTTTTCTTTGTGTTTTAGGATTTTATTGTTTTAGTTTGTACAAATATTTTTTAGAAGTTATATTAGGTTATGTATTTTAAATTTTTTTAGCTTGACGTGCGCACTGTTGATGGCTAAAGTATAGGGCATATGTAAACTTCTAAGTCTCCTAAGGAGAATATTATCAAAGAGTCACATTTCCTTACAAGAAGAGCAATGACGGGTTCTCTCTTCTTCTCAAATGCACATACCAATGTAAAGAGCTCTATATTTCGTTGGTATTGATATTTATAAGGTTATATTATTTATATATTATTTATTTTAAGGTTATATCCTTGCTATTGATGAAGAGCAGAGGACAACCTGTGTCAACTACATTTTTAATTATTATTTAAACCATTTTAATTTTTTTAATAAAAAAAATTGGATTAAAAACCAATACGATCGTTATCAGCGCAGAGTTTATCGCATACTCTGTAATAACATGCGCCGTGGTCCTCGAAATTAACAACTAAATGACTGATTGGAAAATGGCCGATCTCCGTCACGGCGTATTAACACTGAATTGGGTTTCTGAGGCGGTTTTCATTTGCGCACAACTTTATATCGACCGATAACAGCTACTATGTTGTGCTGGAAATACGTACCGACGCTTCTTTCCTAAGTAATTGCGGTTTTTTAATTTTCCTGCAATTAGAACAACTGGTGGTCATTTCCCTTTTAAGTAACATTATCTACTTTTACCTAATCTTATGTTCAAAACTCGTAGAATTATGTTTTTAATATCTGTATATGTATAACGATATATTGCTTGTATTTATGTATTAAATTGTTTGTTACAGATGAACCAAAAGTGCAAAGTGTGCGGGGAGCCGGCGGCGGGCTTTCATTTTGGCGCGTTCACCTGTGAAGGTTGTAAGGTGAGCTACAACAATTTAATTCGAATATATTTCTTGAAAATCCCTCTCGAAAATTTAAGGAACTCCCTCTTTGTAAGTCACCTAGACGGTTCTAGAAAGATCTTAAGCCTCATTTAACGGTTTTCCACCATAAAGAATGAGTAAAAGATCACAAGACTATCGTTTCTCTGAATGTTTAGTTGTGATTATCTATACTATTATAATAAAGCGTAAACACACACTTCTTTGTTGCCTAAGATGTCTGCAATCACAGCATATTTTCGAATAATATTTTTTTTAATAAAAAGCCCTACACTTATGTCACGCTTTAGGCTAAATATTTTCACGCCATTAAACTTAGGGGATTAATATTTTGGATAAAAACCCTAATGTGGGAAAGAGACCATAAGTTGCTGCTAACATCAAGGAAGCAAGACTGTCATCATGTCATGGCATTTTGACATTTGTAATTGATAATTTGAAAATGTGAACAATAAATTGAAATTTTTATATTATTATGCGGATGGAGTCGCATGGGAACAGCTAGTCTTAAAATAAAACTAAATCACAATACACTAAAACACAAATTGACCTAATTTCAGTATCAGTATAATTAGCGATTGAAATTAATGAAATAGGAAATAAAATGTAAAATCTAACGGCGGCCAATTCAACGACTTTCCAATAATCGTATCAAGGACTACGGCTTGGTTCACACTGACGGTTTATTTCGTTTAAAATTTCAAATATTGTTAGGCTCAGTTAAAGGTAATTCTTAGCTTTATTAAACGCAACAAAATTAACTTAATAAAATATACCAAGTCTATTGTATATCAAACCATAGATATCGGGTGCTAGAGTAAGGGCAACTGACCCCCCTCCTACGGGAATCCATAAACACTTTCAATAAGACTATATTTTTGGTAGCTCTCCCTAGATCTAGTCTAGATCATTAGATGACGATGCCTATGTCCTTAACCAATTTGCTTATTAACGAGACTTGTAATAGTAATTTAAATCTATCACGATCAAATTAAACCTATCAAAAAGGCATTAGGAAAAAATCTACTATTTAAATGACAGAGTTTTAAGATCGATCTCATGAATATTGAAACCAGCGGTAGTGTGCAAAAGGGCGAAAATGACTTACATAAATTGAAAACCAAAGCAATTAACAATTGTTTGTACATCCAGAACTGTAGCGAATCGCTGTAATTGCTTACTAGATCTCGTCAAATAGGTATTAACTAACATTTCCATTGATAACAACGAAAATACGTACCTGAAAACGTTTTAAAAATACAATAAAATGGATATACAAAGCGTTTTAACATATATCAAAATAAAAAAGTATTAAGTATTATTTTAAACCTGGTTTTTTTAATTATCTCGCGTGCAAATGAGATTCTAACCTAGTACATAAACAATTTTATGACTAAACCGAAATTCATCTGAATTTCAAATTAACATTTGTCACGTAAACATCGTTAATAAAGAGGTTAGTAACTAATCTTGCATATAATTTAATAATACTAGCTGTCACCCGCGACTTCTGTGCCATAGTCTATGTGTTCTTCCAGACTGTCCCACTTCTAAAGCTAGCGAGATACGCTTAGTTGTACTGGAGATACGTAATCCATTCATCCAAGATTTTGGATTTATAATATCAATGAAATTTAAAAGAACATTGACATTTTGTATTGATAGACAGATAAACAATAAAGCTATTCAGTAATGGCTGCAAATGTTAAGACACCGAATTTTAGTGTGAAAGAGAGAAAATACTGTGCTGACCTTAAGAGTGAAAAGGACAGGAAGGAGAATGTTTAAGATAATAATATAAATGTATAATTAACATTGTAAATAAATATCTAATCAAAGCCACCGATGTGAAACTAGGGCTAACGAATATCCTTTTAACCAGATCGATAATTATAGACGATAATTGCGTTTAATTCCGACTTAGACTTGATTCATCCTCAGTACCATTAATAAAAACGAAATCACAACTACCGCAATAACAACCTTAAGAAGACAGCAATTAGGTCGAAAATGGAGAAATTAGATTCACTATATGTCCGGGAGATTCACGTCAATAATTCGATCGGCACGCAACATGTTCCGGTACATATTTTTTTCTTGAACTACATCGATTATAATTATTTATTGATACGATTTCTCGGTTAATTATATCTGTATTTACTCTACAATTACTCGCTACAACTAGGAAAGGAAGAAACTACCAACTGGAATCTAAGTTTCCTTTATAAGTATTTTTAATTAATCCATACTGAAATTACGTTACTAAACAGTCCAGTAAATAATCTACTAAACTTTTCAATTGAAATAACTAAAAAAACGATTAATTTCCGTAATCGATTATCTCGATTAGCATACAAATACCGAATAAGGTCGATTCGAAATGAATCGTATTGTTTTAAATTAGCTTTGGATTGCGTTAACGCAATTTGCATCAAGTGGAACAGAACTGGCACAATAGGTTGCACAAGAGGGAGGGAATTGTCGCAGGATGTGGCCCTGGTCGGTTACGTTGTAACGTAATATCTGACATCGAAATATCTCCTATACTAATTATATGACAATATTTTTGCATATGACAGTATCGCTATGTCTGTGCTATGTAAGACCATTTTGAGGTTACGTTTTAAAACAGGTATAGTACTGTCACATGCAAAAGTATTATCATATAATTCATTTAGGGGATGTTTCGATATCAGATTTAACATTTCATCGTAGCCGACCATGGCCGCATCAAAACTCGAGCAAATTTTCGTACGATTTCCACTGGGGATTTTATTATTAATTACACACCTTAAATTTCCAGAATAGGGTAGACATATTCGTAAAAAACTACGCTGTATGTGTAGTCACAGATTACTATTTAAGTTTATAACGGCAGTATATTCAGAAGGCGTTCGCTCACGTATCCTTGACTTTGTGCCAATTGTGATCCCATCAGTCTGTCGTGGCCCTTTTAAATGGTGTCATTACTCACGGCTTGGCACGCTCCGGTCTATTCGCGGTGCAATAACAACTTACCGCGTAGACAATACTCGATTCTAGATTGTGTACCGTTCCTAAATAGGTTATGAGTCAACGGTTAAAGTAACCTTCAATAAAGATCTTCATTTGTTAAAACATGTGACGTTCGATACAACATTTACATTAATAAGTCTAGATTTTACCCGCATTTTTGTAAGTCAGCAAACCCTAGCAAAGTTGGGAGTAAAAACAACAATTACTAGACATAATTTGTACTAGAGCCAAGGCTATCAACAACGTCTAATCATAACAATGCTATCTGATACGATCAGGCAAAGGTACACGAAAGTTCGGTCATGGTGTTTGAATCGGAAACGAGTCATTGAGAAACGGATGCGCGCAGGCTCCGGAAAATGACCGCCGGCGAAACAACGAAAGATTTCAAAAAACAAATCGCGATTTAACCGAAATTGACCAACAGGGAACGATGACATAACCTTGTAGTGTTATACTGTTTAGGCCTGGGTTCATTTCAAGTAGGGAGAAATTTTCTAGCGATCAACTAAATCCTTATTTTGTCTACTAACTTAACGATACCATAACATTGTTACATATGTTATTTTCATAAAATTGTGATTATCGTTGAACTCTATTGTACTAAGCCAAAGAATTTATATTCATTGATATACTAATTTCAGAAACAAACATAAGGTTACATAATATTTAACTGGTAGGCTGATGGCGAGCCAGAGATCAGTAGCTAGCGGCTAATAGTGGGCAGTGATTGATGGGTCGGCAAAAACGTGTGAACGCGACTGCTCCAATAACGCGTACTGCGTTGCACTGTACCGTACTGTACCGTACTATGTACTACCTAGTACAGTGCTGTACAATACTGTACTGTACCGCACTGTACTAAGTTTAATGTGTTCACATCATTAGATGGACGTCGAGGTGAAATATGATTGATATCGTTTGTTTCTTTGTAAAAAGTAATGGTAGAAAGCAATAGCAACTAACCGTATGTAAATATAAGATAGATTTACATACATAGTTTCTCTATAGAATATAGAAAACACTACATATTAGGTTTCGTCAATAAGTATACTAATAATCACCTAGTCTAATCTGCAGATATAGAAATGATAAACGCTAAAATTTAGATGGATGGATGTTGGAAGGTATCTCAAAAACGGCTTGACGAATCTCGATGAAATTTGGCACAGATGTAAATCTGCGCGGACTAACCTAATATTTGGTAACTAGTCTATCTCCCAACAGCATGTCACCAGCTTACCTTCGACTTACGACGGCAGTCACACGCCACAGATTATATTGCTATTGAGAGCACATTCAAATTGCGATAAAGCACGCGAACGGAAAACGATCTATGGAAACTTTTGGACTCGAAATAGGGATGCGCACTGCAGTGTTCTAGATATCGATAATTATTTTTTCATCAAATCATTTCTTACTAAAAATTACAAAATATGTTAATATATCTTTAGTGTTAAATCTTGTATTTAAAAACAACTAATTAGAAAAGCTATAGAAATAGGTCAAAAGAAAACAAATAACATAATGTTTTTTAAAATTCATAACTTATTTAAATTTTATTGTAACTGTAAAATATGTCATATTATTACAATATTAAAACAATCGTTTTAACAACATATAATTTTACAACAATTAGGTTCCACATCTCAATAGAGTCACGTCACTAAACTTTCGTAACTGGCCAGCAATAAATCATCTCAACTAATTTGTTTTTAAAAGTTTAAAGCGGGAACAGCCCGCGCGTAATCGTTTATTGTTATGGGACAAAGACAGTGGCGCCACCATTGTGACTTGTCAACCGCAGTAGCTAAAAAAAATTACCATTAGCGGCCCTTTTACTGAATTAATTGGATTGTTTTGTAAACTGCAACTCGTTTCGATTTCAACAGAATAATGAGCGCGTTTTAAAACTCCGTAATTTGAAACTCCACTTGCTATGCTATTTTTTTTACAATCTCGTC